ATCTGCAAAAAAAATAATGAAAAGAAAGTCAGTTTGGAGCATTTGTTCACTGTCTCCTCTAATACATGAAGGGGCATCAACATGATGCTGAGAAGTTACAAAGAAACTAAAGAGTAGTTTGCAAAATGAGTATATATGAATGTTTATTTATTGATTTATTTATTTTTCACCACAAAAAAAAAAAAAAAAAAAAAGTGGATGCTGAAAGCATACATAAGCTCAAAATTGCTGCAGAAAGAAAAAAAAAATAGTTCATAGCTTTGTAAACAAAAATACCACTTCCTGACCAAGAAAATCTCAAGATTCAGTCACCTGATTTCTGCAAGACTATACTGGGGAAGAATCATTACATACATTATGATTTCATTATCTTCCCTAGATAGCTGATATCATTCACTGCCAGAGACAAGATATATAACTACATGGTCTGACCTAGCCCAGACATTCTTATATATTTTAAGTGAGATATTGTAACTGACTGTGAACTGAAATATGTTCTCTGAAATATGCTCTCTTTTGCTTTTCATCATTATAGGCAAGGAACTTTTTGTCTGCAGGATTTTGGGAAGCTCAGTTAGGTTTCTGTGAGCCTAAGGGAGAGCCGAGTGAATGATTCCACCAGGATTTCCTCACACACTTTGTAGTTTGGGGGTGTGGGTGGGCAGGAGAGAAGAGGAAAAACTAGGGTTTAAGGCCAGAAAGCATCACCCAAACACCTAGAGTCCTTCACAGATAAGCATGAGTTAAAGACAGTAAAAAATACACTATTCAATTTTTATTTCTTTTTCCCCTGAATTGTTCCATGTCATCTTCAAATTTCAGCCAGTGGTTGTTGTAAGGTCTGTGTTAGTAAGACTGACTGTTTGTTCTGATAGGATCTGCTATATTTTTCTTGTAAAGGTCATACACTGTAATCAAGCTATCTCTTAGTCTCATTTCTGTGGCTCTTACAGGAGTGTTTTTCAAACTTTTATCAATCTTTCCTAACTGTGGGCTGCAGAACAGGTAAACCATCCCACTTACATCTTCATCCTAGATGTAAAGCAGCCTCCTAACCTTTACAGAGTGGCTTGGGAATACCCTTTGTTGTTACAGCACCGAATGAAGAGATTGTATTACATTGTTTGCTCATTTTAATCAGTAGGTAAAAAAGCTGATTTAGTTTTTTTTTTTTTTTTTTTTTTTTACAGCAATGGACTGTAAAACTACAAATATATACTACAAATAGAGATTTTATTCTTTGTGAAATTTAGAGGGTACTGATACCTTTCTTGTTGCTATGTTACAGTAATTTCTTTAGACCTGCTGGGACTGTTCATTAACATATCAGTAGTTTATAAACACCATCTCAAAAACTACCCATAAAGGAATTTTCAAAAGCAGAACCCATTGTGATGCTGATACGTGGAGCTAGTAAGAGCTAGCCATGGAAGAGTTGCTGTAGAGAATCAGATGCCTGAATGAATAGTTTAGACTTCTAGTTTGCACGTTCGTTTTATTGAGTATATCCACCTTAGGGAAGGGGAAAAGCTTACTGGAAAATAGTGCATGGTTCCAAAGATTTCTGGAAAATAATCCTGCTAAACTGCATATGTTAGCTGAAGTGGGAGATCTCTTTGATAACCTTTACAAGCACTTATGTCTCTCTGTTGACTTAATGGAATGCCTTTGGAGGACTTTTTCTAATAAACACTTAAAATTTATGTGCTAATTAGGTATCTAGGCTTGACGGATGGTGACAGAGGGTGACAGAGCACTGGCACAGGTTGCCCCGAGAGGTGATGGGGTTTCCTTCTTTGGAGATGTTCAAAACCTGCCTGGATGTCATCCTGTGTAATGTGCTCTAGGTGATCCTGCTCAGATGAGGGGTTGGACTAGATGATTTTCAGAGGTCCCTTTCAACCTCGGCCATTCTGCGATTTTGTGATCTCATACTTATACTTGTTGTTGCACACAACTCACCTATCAACCTACACACAACAAGAAAACTTTTTAATGTCCAAGGGCAGATTCATTTACTCCAGCCCATAAATATTCTGACATAGTTTAATTTTTCAATAAGTGATAATACAGTGATACCGCTGAGACATGAAAAGGAACAACCAGCTAGGTATATTGGCATCTGTGTGGAAGGACTTTAACAGTGAACATGATTTCAAACCATGTTCATTAGAATCCAAGGAAGAATGAGAGCATCCCTGCCCATTGGAGTGGTGGAAGAAAGACAGATTATCCTTGTGCGTTGATAGTGAAGCAAGAGTTGTCTCACAATCTGGTGTGAGACATTTATTAAAGTGGCAACAGTGAAAGAAAAAAGGACTCTTGTTTCTGAGTCTGATTTACATTTCCACTTTTCTTGCAGTTATTGATAGCTGTTGACAGTAAGTCAAGCAACAAACTCAACTCCTTGGTGATATCTTTAGAATGTGTGGATTGCTTATGAAATAAATTGTTGGCAAAGCCTGTAGGAAATATGGACAATGCACAAGTATTTTTGTTTATTTTACTCAACAAAAATATTTCTGTAAAAGAAAGAGAAAGAGAGAAAGAGAAAAAGAGAGAAAGAGAGAGAGAGAGAGAGAGAGAGAGAAAGGCAGGAAGGCAGGAAAGAAAGAAAGAAAGAAAGAAAGAAAGAAAGAAAGAAAGAAAGAAAGAAAGAAAGAAAGAAAGAAAGAAAGAAAGAAAGAAAGAAAGAAAGAAAGAAAGAAAGTGTTTCCACTACAGCAGCCTGTGAAATTTCTACCATTTTAACTGTCATTTTTTGAGGATTACAATGAATGTTACAAGAAGGCTAAGCAGTGAAAAATCTAGCTGTCTCTTCCTACAGGAGAGGGAAAAGATGATCCTGGCAAATGGGGCATGCTGGGAATATGGAAGTTGTCAATAAATTCTTATTTTGAGTTTACCAACAATTTTACCCAGAGCTTCAGTCCTTGCCAGCTGTAGCTCTCTTTCAACATACTGGTCAATTCCTAATTGCATATTGGGATACAACATGCACTTTTGACTCCAGAGTCTAATTTAATGAAAAGGTTTGCAATCTTTATGGCTAGAGAATGTCAGAGGTGCTCTTTGCATAGACACTGTTTTTCAACTGGTTTACTAACATCATTTTGCTATTCATACCTAGGGGATTTAGGAAAAACACAGTTCCTGACATAGTTACCACGAAGGCCTAATGTTCATAAATGCCAGGTTGTCAGTCTCATCAGGTCTAAGCAACCGAAATAGAAGGTGCTTTTTAATGCTACCCCAGAGTCAATTAAAATACAGTAATGCTGACATCTGCAGAATACAGAATGATCAAAGTAAAGAATGCCCATACAGCTTCTGACATAAAAACAGTGTGTTTGGCGGCAGAGTGACACAGTGTAACAGGTCAGGTAATTATGAGAAAATCTATGATGTATCTGTTGCAATTGCTTAGCTTCTTTCCATTATCAGAGCCATCAAACAGAACAGCGCTCTCACTTCTCCTGATGGATCGTAAAGCTAGTGACACCCTCGCTCTCCTGATACAGATGGCATCTCAGGAGCAGCTGAATTAATTTGACAGTAAATAGGTGGTAGCAATTGCTGTCTTCTCTTTTTTATTATTATTTTTATTATTTTTTTAATTGCACCAGGACAGCTTTTAGCACTTCTGGGAATAGCTCAGAAAGCCTATGCCATGATTAGCAGTGTACCCTCCTCTCCTGTAACCCCATTCCAAAGCTTTTGCTGCTGTTTTATTTACATGATAATTGCTCAATGGCAACAAAATTTTATTCTCCCTGATCTCCCCACCCTAACTCTCAGTCTGAACTATGTGCATTAATTATCATGATTAAGGAATTCTCTCATTTTTTGCCTTGATGTGTTTATTAAATTAATGAAGGAATCTGACACATGGGCTTGTATGCTTAGGGTACAGTTATACTAAAGTCATGGGTATATTTTAGATGGCTGCAAATTTTCTGCCTCAGTAACATTATAATTGGCTTAATGGATTTTCAGTTATGTGCATTGGATTTCTCCCCTCTCCAAAGCAGACTAATTACAGCTTTTTACATTAAATTCTAATAGATTTCAATTTATCTCCTCTAAATTATCACAATAATTACAGTAATAAATTAGGCATGTAGCTGTCATTAATCTAAACAATTTGAATTGGGTATCATAGCAGCACCACACAGCCTATGTTTCCTAAATGTGTATTCAAATATATTCCTAACTCTATAACCATTGTGTGGGAGGGTCTCATTTCGCAACAAGCTGCAAAACTCAGAATGTAAAATGGAAGGAGAGAGAGGAAGAGAAGGGGGGGAAATGGAAAAAGAGATGAGAGACTGCAGTAAAAGTCAAAACAGACCAAATTTGAGGGAGCACTGCATGCAATTAATGTCTGAAGAACTGGACAGGAACATACCTGAACTATCCTGGCAGACCTCAGACTCCATCACTAATCCATGACTACTTTTTCCCTCTTACATAAAAATGTGTTGCAAATGTTTCTTTACTCAAGAACACCTACTTGAAATTACAGATGGCTGAAACATGAAATTTTACCTTTCATAGGAAATTTTGGCAAGGACAACTTTGGTTTTGTTTCTCATTTAGAACAATCTCCAGTTATTTAGAACACATCACAAGTGGAAATTCTGAAAAAAAAAATCATAGAAAAAACTCATGATCATTGTTTTTTAAATTGTGGGGTTTTTTTTGTTTGTTTGTTTGGTTTGGTTTGGTTTGGTTTGGTTTGGTTTGGTTTGGTTTGGTTTGGTTTGGTTTGTTTGTTTGTTTGTTTGTTTGTTTTTGTTTTGTTTTGCTTCTACTGTTCTCTCAGCTGAAAGGTATTGACTTGACTATACTCAGCTTCACATAGGTTCTTCAGCAGAATGCTGTGCGACACTTACCAACTCATGTCAATTTCCTTGGCAGCTGCCAAGGACTAAGGATTGTAGGATTTAGGTTTGGAACAATTTCCTTCACATCCTTATCTTTTCTCCCTTCCTCCCTAGGCAGCTGGATTTCCAAAACACCTGTCTGCATATGTGCCTGACTCCCTGGATGGCAGGACCCTTCACCCAATGAAGTCATCACACCCAAGCCTGCCTCTATAGCAGTTCAGACACGATTTCAGAAGATTAAGCCCAACAAACAAATCAGTCCTTGCTGTGATGTGCCTTTGCTTCTAGACTGTCACAGATACATCAGTGATGGTCCACTCACTAGAGGTTAAAGCAACAGCGTAGCTATGCCTACACCACTGCCCAGCCATGCTAGAGTCAGTTCTGAATTACAGGTATGTTACAGAGCAAGGTCACTGTACAGCTGCATGTCATGGCATGGCTAGGGTGTAGAGAAGTTTCTGGGGAGATGGCCAGCCTGATTTTTTGAAAATGTGAAATTTCTGTCCAGAGATCCAGCAGTCCCCTTCACAACCAGTGATCCACAAGTGTGGCTGGAACCACAGAAGTCTGCTGTCTTGATGAACATGCTGGAAAGCTGTGGACACTCTGCAATGTTACCGAAAGGGATGTCCAGACTTTCTCAAATGCGGAGTAGTGTCATTTTCTTATGGCACTTAGACTGCCTGGATAGTTTCCAATTAGCTACACAGATGATACATTTTAGTAACATACAATATTGGGGTGCTTTTATCCTGCAAATGGGAGAAATATTTAGATCTTTATTGAAGTCAGCATGACTGTATCATTCCAATGTGTAACCGCAGGGGGCAAGAATTTCTGTAGCAAGTGGACACAAATTTGTATGTACTGAATACTTCTCTGCTTCTAATTTTCAAAACATCAGTCTATAAATATCCTTCCATGGTATATATTTGTGAAGCTTTTGACCATTATGAAAATGTGATGAAACATATATATGCAATCTTTAAAAGGATTAAAATGGTGAACTTTACAAAAAAAAAAAAAAAAACTTTCAGATTTCTGTACTTCAGTCAAATAAAGTAGCCTCAGAGCGCTGACACCATATGTACATATTACACAATGTTTAAAGCTTCCCTGAGCATCAAAAGGGAATACCTAATGTGCGGTTTCAATTAAGTTTCCATATATCCAGACAGTTACTACATTTCTGTTGTAACCACACTAGATGAAAAAAGTCACTAACATTTTTCCTAGTGACTAAATCATTTTGCAAATTCAGGCTGTTCTGTGAATTTGTAGAGGTTCAAATTGGTAACACTTAAAATAATAGCACGTTGATTTGTGCTGCTTTGCACTGGAATTCCTCTGGAAGGATGTCTGACCTCTTCATTAATATGAAATGAGCTCCTTGTGATACCTTAATGAATATGCAGCGTCCCCTTAGTGACATGAGTAACATTTGAAACCTTTATGCATTTTCAATGGGCATTCACCTCAGCTAATCTTCAGAGCAGGTTCATTCATAGTCATATTTCCTGTTATCTGCTTACAAAGTTAAGATGTTCTTACTGTTTGAAATTTGTCACTTACTCCAGAAGAAGGAAAAGAAAAAGCAAGTGATGGCTTTAATGGGCAATGTGCCAAGATAAATGGTCCCTGCTGTGCATGTTAGATTTGATGCAAGTGTTCTTTGTGTAGATACTACTTCCTGTACAGAATATTGCAGCCTTATGGCAACCTTTGTCCTTTGTCTTGATGATTGTATGAAATATTAATCTCCGAAACAGTAATGCTAAAATGAAACATTCTGCAGTGTATCTGGTGGCTACAGCTGCAGACAGGGATTCAGATGTCGGATCCTATTCCTGTCTGCACCATAGTCTCAATGGGTACTTTTTCTGTGTCTCAGCTCCCTCATTTCTCAAAGAGGAAACATTATTGTTAACTAAATCCTAGGGGGTTTTCTGCACCTTACCTAGATATGTTGGTAAAACACACCGAGATCCCATATGGGACTAGATGGTAAAGCTTTCTGATTATACTAACTAGAATTAATACCAGACAGTGTGTCATGCTATTTTGTTGGATGACAGTAATACTTAGCCTCCAACAACTTGACCTAAGAGGTACTTTCTGGTCAAATTGGTAATTCTTGCCAAGTATGCACAGTTATTGCTCAGGATACATCAGTGGATTTCCGTTTGACAGTACATCCTTAAGGATGTATTTGTGAGGCTTTGGGGGCTGCCAGTCTCACAGATCATATTCGTCTTCTGGGCAGCAACAAAGATCAAACAATGGGTACACCTCTTCTTTAGGTCCATTGATATTTAAAATTCAGGATTTCATAGAGATGGTAAAAAATATCCAACAGGTATGTTTTGTTCTTCACATCAGACACAGAGGGGATGAAAAGCCTTTGTATGCTGTTATCCTCCCTGTTTCTACATGCCTAGGAAGAAACACACCAGAACAGGCATGTTCTGTACCTAAATATCTTACATGGAGGAGTTGGTTCTTTTCTGTAACCTCTTTTCCACCCTAAATAATGTGGTCAATACAATAGCTGCTGGACAGAATAACAAAGTCATTTGATTTTTTATTTATTTTTTTTAACCTAGCTGGTGGTCTCTGCTTCCTCAGAGGCCTACCAACAGCTACAGTTACTTCTTTTTTTCTTTTATTTTTTTAACTTAATTTATTGCTCAGGTGATTGGTGTGATTTATTACTCTCAACAAAGCCTGCAAAATCTCACTTTAGAAAACAGAAAAAAAAAATGGGAGAAGGGGAAAACAGGGACATGATATGTGTTGGGTTTTTTTGTTTGTCTGTTTTGTTGGTTTTTTTTTCTTATCAGTCCAAAGCTTACAACATCCTTTCTTGCTTATATGGCTGTATTTCCACATTGTTTATAGCCAATGGACACAGGGATGAAAAGTATAAGTAAAGGGAGAGGAAAGAATTGCATAATTAACTTTTTAAATTAATTCATGACCCAGTTAAAAGGACAAGGAGGGGGTTATTAATTAATTAAGGTGGGAAACCCTGTGGGCATGTGAGATTTAGAGAGTTTTAACTTACCAGCCAGGTTAAAAGGCTTTCTAAGAGTGTACTCAGCACTCACTGAATCTGGAATGCAGTTAATGCGAAAAGAAAAGGTGAAAATATATTGTAAAAGGTTTTCAGGGGGAATAAAAACTCTAAGAAGACAGAAAATTAATTAGGAAGAATCCTGACAAATGTTTCATCAGAATTTGAGGAACAGCCTAGCTTGATTCTTAGCTTTTTCAAGCCTACTTAACTCTACTGAACACAAGGGTTGCTTGATGCCATAAAGGCAGGGATTTTGTCCTGAAATACAATTTTTAAATCCTCTTAGGTCCTAAGAATTTCAGTAAAACTGATGGATTAATAGCTATAGAAATAGTAGCAACAATAACTGATATTTGAGTGAACATTTTTGACACTCTGGAGACAGAGTAGACTTTTTTTTTCCTCTTTTCCAGATATAGCACCTCTCAATAAAAACACATTTTAAACTGGCTATCAAAAGTTCTCTCTTTTCTCAGGTATCTGTGACTGCAAATGACCATTTAAAATATACATTTCTGTATTTCCTTAAAGGCTTATATCACCTGTGTTGCTTCCAGCACTTGTCCTTGTACCTCAAGGTAAAATTTAGAATTCAGATGAGTTTGAGAAGTTCTTACATCCTGTTTGTTTGTTTGTTTGTTTGTTTTCTTCCTATTATCTTTCTTTATACTTCTTTGTATGGATATTTATACGTCTAGGCTTTGCAGTCATTAAAGTTAGGGATAATACTTCCATGACCTTCTGGTACAACCAGCAATGCTAATCCAAGAATTATTTTATGAATTCATGAAAAAGAGTGTTATTTCTCACTGACAGTATTTGAAGTGGATCACATGGATTACTATTGGTTTATTTAGTCAGTCTTCCATTTCAATCATCTAATGATAGATATCAAGACACTTTTAGCTAACTGTAAATACTACCTTCTTTTGTTAGCTAATATTGGCTACGTGTCTTTGTCTCATGAGCATTTGGAAAAATCTAAATCAAAGTACAAATGTTGTCTCAAAAGTTAATTATGTAGACAGTTTTTTCTTTTCCCCAGTTGCCTCCATTGGAATATGAAAGACTAGGAAAAAAAAAAAAAAAACTAATAAACATAAAATGTCACACAAAATGACGTGGAAGTGTTACTACAAAATATTTGAAAATTAGAGGAAAAATAAAATTATCACCATTAGAGACAGGCCACTGCTGATGGAATTTGGGTCTTTTTATACACAAAAAATGTCATTCTAGCTGCACTGTATTACTGTTCCCTAGGCAAGTAGCAATCTTCATTGCTTTATGATTCTCTTTTTCTTTATCATACTGCAGCATTTTGGTGTGAGAATTTTAAAATTAAATCTCCTTATTGTGCAGGCAGGATGTCCAGTTTTATTCTATCAAATGCCACAGAAACAAAGGGAACAATCCATTTTTCCTGATAGAAGCCAACAGTTCGTAAGAGGTTTGAGATGAGTGTAAGGATACAATTTGCCTAGAGAGTGCCTGAGGATCAAGACAACCTGACTTTCCACGGAATGAGTCTGTCAGCTGGCATCTTGCAGTAATTGCTTCCCATGGCAGGACCTTACCAGCCGAGGGAGGACTGCTCTCGTCAACCCAAGAATCAATTTCTACAGTAGCTGAATGATAATTGTTTGCTAAGGCTCGGGGAACTTGTTGCCAAGCCTGAAAAAGGGGCTGAAGCTATGATTGGCACTCATTAACCCGGGATTTGGATTTGATCATTTACCTTAGTAGAAGAATGTGTTGGGGTAAAGGAGGGAGGGGACTGCAAAATGTTCTTTTGTTTGGAAGAAACAAATGAGATCAACTGCAGAATGGGTAACTGAACGTCAAGCCTGAAACCATATCTGTCTTCACTCAAAGGGACCAAATAGCATGCACTGTGAAGTGATTTGAATGCTTTCCTTCAAGTAGAAACATCTCTTTGGATTACTTGTTTTTTTCCTGATAGATACCATTGTTTGTGTATTTTGTTCATTATGTTAAATACATCCCGATGACTGATGTCCTGAAGTTAGGTTGCTGGGTTACACAATAAAAAAAGGGGGAAAAGACATGCTAGAAGTCCAGAAGACTAACTTCTGCCTTCCATAGCAAAGCCTGTGCTTTTGCAGGAGGCAATCACCACTGCCTGCTGTCTGCTGCAGACGTTTATGCCCAGCTGCAGTTGTGTCTTGTAGTGTTAGCTGGCTGGCTGTGTGTGGTATTTTCTGATCCTCACTAAAGTATGCCTTATGCTAAGACAGGTATTATGACTGCTAACATACCTGTCATGCAGCATTTTAGCATGTGGACCAGACAAGCAGAAAGTGATTTAGAGAATCAGCCTCAGATACTGCCTTCACAGTTGTGTTTCCTAGTGTCTGCTGATTATTTATGTGACCTTTCAAAGCCTACTGACAGACATGTATACACTGATTTATTATTTGTTTTGTTTTGATTTCTGTATCACAACAAGTGTATTCATATCGGCCTGCAAGTGCTGGTTCAGGGAAAAGCACAGGGCAGTGACTAAGTCAATAGTAAAGTATATAGATGACTGATTCAGAGTCATGATCTATCAAAGAGCCTTGTATGATTTTTGGTACCTGTCAATGTTTTTGGAAATGCCTGACCAAGCTCTTCACATTAGCATTGTCTACTCTGGATGCATATGTGCCTTACCTGCAAAAAGCAAAATCTCTGTTTCATGTCTCTGTTCTCACCAGGGTCTTTCTCTTCAAATCTTGTGTGCTAGGTTCTCTGGAATGGCAAAAATGTGAGTGAAAGTGGTCTGAACCTGACTGTGGAGCCTGCGATGGCTCTAATAAACTTTAGCTCATAGGAATCTCAACAGAAAGTCTTGTGGCAGGCATTTCTGTATGTTCACATGCATATGATGTAATGGATGTCAACAAGAACAATCTTCTTCAAAATAAGAACAGTACAATTTTATTTGTTGTCAAGATGATACTAACAAGAAAAAGAAATTAGCAGCTAAGAGTCAGAAAACAAAAACAGCCACTGTAGTTTTCCTATATGAACCCTATTAGTGCTCATTCCAGGTTGTCTCATGAGCAGTGTCCCTTGAGGCTCAGCAAAGAGAGATGGTGTATGGATCCTGGAGAAACAGAAAGAATGTCCTCTCTTGCATAATTTTGAAGCACTGGAAATGCAGCAAATCTTTAACTCTCCTGCTCAGGGTTGGTTTGCAGCTCTTCACTTGCCTGGTTTGCATACACAGTGACTTTTGTTTGTCCAACCATACTTTTAAAGAAAGAACAAAACATTCTTTAGGTCTTTGGAACTGGTTTGTCATAATCTGGAAGGATCTGTACACAACCATGGTCTTACTTTCCACCTACAAACCATATGGAGCTCATTCCATTTTTTTTCTATCCACAGAGAGTTTGTATTTTTGTTTGTTTGTTTGTTTCATTGTTTCATTGTTTTGTTGTTATTGTTTTGTTTGTTTGTTTGTTTCCCAGGGAATTCCTACTCTGAACTTTATTTACTTGTTTCCAGTACATTCTGAATATAAACTTGGTTTGTCAATTTACACTGAATGATGCAGATAATGCCACATTTCTTGTAGTCCCTTAGCAGATCAGTCATGTCCTTAGTGGCAGCATATGGATGGATGTAAGTTAGGCAGTTAATTAGTTAACTAATCACTAGATGTGCTTGCTTAGAGACAAATATCATGCAGTGAACTGACCTGTAGAAACCTCCATCTTAAAAATAAATTCCTTGTTTTATGCCCTTCTGATTTGGGCAGGTTCACGCAAAATGCTGGATGACTTGATAGGAGCTGAGTAGATTTAACGGCTTAGTAGTTACAGAATCCCTCAGATACTGCAGACTGCTTCTTTAGTTCATGTGACAATTATATCTCAATTTGATCAGAGGGGAATATGTTTCCTCTTTTCTAAGAGTTTGGACATTATGTCCTGTACCTTCAGTGCAGGTCTACCAGCAAATCAATGTGAACAGATGTCAAGTTACAGAATCCCAGCCTGGAGATGGGTTTGCATTCATATTCAACTTGGGGAAAGCAGCTTTGTAAAAATGCCAACTTTTCTAAGGTTCACAGCCAAGAAAGTTATATTAAATGAATCTTGCACATGCAAAAAGCCACAGTCTCTTATTAAACCAGTCCCAAAAGAGCTGATGTCCTTTAACTAGAAGGAAGTATTATCTAAGGAACATGATTTTCAATCTAAGTCTAGAGACTTATATATGCAATATATGCACAGACAATGAAAATAGTGATTTTATGTCTGACAGTACTTTCTTCTGTGTTTTCCAACTGGTTATGAACTGCTCCTTCTCAGTGAGCAGATACGGTACTTCACAAGGGATTTGGAATACAAATGACTGCTGTTCTTTATACTGCAAGAAACAGTACACAGCTGAGTTCTTCTGATCATGCATCCAGTGGTTTGTATAAAACAACTAGGGTGACATGCCTCTTTGATGTGTCAGATAGATTTAATCTGTGGACCCGATATTTTCACTGAATAAGGCCCTTAAATGAGTATCAAACAACCTCTGTGCCTCCAGCTGTTCTGGAGGGTTTGCTGCCTAACCAGAGATGCAAAAGGCTAAAAGGAGTGACATCAGTTTGAAGTCCAGGTAATTTGTCTTAAACTGTAGGTTTAAGACACATGAAAAAGCAGAGAAGAAACCATGCTTTCTGAAGTTAAATCAGAGTGTTGTCATGGAAGTATTTTGCAATTGTTCTCCATTTTGATGGTTGGCTTCAAAAAGGCAGTGGCCTCTAACTTGCATTTATGATTTTGTTGGTGCTACCTCTGCACTTCTACCTGGTAGCCCTGAAAATATAGAAGCTGTATAACACAAACAAAACATAGAGGTTCACTTCTGTGTTTCCCATGCTCTTCCCCCTACTCTGCTACTTGAAAACGATGTGGCACTGGTTATCTCTGATGCACTTTTTTCAATCAATAAACATTTATATTCCATAACTTTACATTTTCCAAATTCCTGCAGAATTACAGGAATGATAAGCATTTGGTTTGTATCTGTATTTTCAGATAGCTAGCAGAGAACTTGAATTATTAGTAGCTCACTAATATGAGGAAATATTCCTGCATACTACCTTGAAAATATGAGGTTTAAAGTGGACATGTATAAGTATGGAATAGCCAAGAGTCTTTGAAGGGTGAAATGATGAAATATGATGAAATTAACAAAGTGAAACCTTATAAACAAAGACATTTTCTTTGTTCTTGAATAGAACATCATACATGAAGATCTATTTAAAGTCCTTACAGCATACTGAAATAATAATGTTAGGGGAAAAGACAAACAAACAAAACCCACATATCAGATTAGATATCTTGTGGTTAATGGGTTCTGCTGTGCTTCACTTCAGAAAAAGCAGCTCAAGAAATGCTTGCTAGTTAATGTTTCCTTGGGAAAAATTCTAATCCTAAACCTAAACTGGTACTAGTTTTCTTCCAGTGTCTAAATCACTCTGTATACAGAGGCCTTCATTTATATAATTGGAAATAAATGCAATTATTGTGTATCTCTTGCTCTCTCTCTTCATCCTTCCCATAATCCATGGCATTCTATATGTGCATTTGTCACTACTCTCTCTGGAATGAAACATATTGGAGTATGTATGATAATCTTAATTCATATGATATTTTTTTCTCCTGAAACGAGGATACAAATTCAGCACAGATATGACTGATGGCTAAAGGGATATACATGTATCTCTATTACTTGAGGTGTTGCATGTGTCATGGAGAAGAATCTCCAAAGCTCATGGCAAAGTATGGGAAAGATCTATTCTGCTGTAAATCAGTGCAGTTTCCTGAGAACAAGGTGATTCCATGGTGCAGCTCCAGTAAGCAAATAATGATGGTGCCAGCTTCTATGTATGAGCACTTTTTTCCTGAATGACTTAGACCAGCTAAATGTACCTCAACA